TTTTTTTTTTTTTTTAGGCGGATAAGAACGCTCCTACCGAGTGGCCTGAAAATAAATTGTATGTGGCCAGGTGTTACTGCAAAAAGAAGGAGAAGAAGTTTGCAACGGAATATCTGAAGGCAGTTGAAGATTTACAAAAACACGATGAATCGGTAAAAGAGGGTATAGAAGATGTCCGCTCTATGATCGCCAAAATTTAACTAACAGTAACTGTTATCTCATGTTCACCTCTAAGCCAAATTTCTTCTAGGTCTTCCAGTTTTGAGTAGAGACTTATCACTGCGTGGATAGACATCCACAGTAATCTAGAAAAGTTTTAGAAATAATGATTAAAATCATAATTTAGACTTCCCTATTAATCTAGGAAGGTCTATTTTTGCAAGTAACGAGTTACCACTGCCATTGTTCTTATCTCTGCTGTTTAACTGAACTAGCTGTATATGTACATAATTATGTATATTTGACCAGACTTCAGCCATGAGCAACTATTTTTTTTTCTTTTCTGATAGCCTGGTTCAATTTTGTAATTCTACCATTGTAATGCGTAGAATATACTGAAAACGGGTGCATAAGCAACGATTTACTCATTAAAGTATTTCCTCAACTAATTGGCATTGTTTACAAGGAAAGAAATTTATTCCCTACTACTCGCTTTACAGCTTTTCATAAAACCAAAATATCAGAACTCGCTTCCGTAAGCCGACGCCCTGCGAAAAGTCATCTTATGATTAACTTCAACCTTGCATGCCTCCTGTTTTCAAACGAACTTGGAAGGCATCACCAAGGTATCGGCGCGGCTACTGACTATACCACAATCAGTTATTTTGTAAGTTCTATCTATAGTAATAAAGATTATCAGACGTTCAGAGCTGCTATGCTGTCACAATACTCATTACAGTATTCACTCCAGTATTTCACTGAGGAAGTTTTCCAGGAATAAGCCAAAAGATGAGGGAAAGCATAATTGCCCTGCTTTTTTTCGGCCGAGTACATGTTTAAATTTACAATTTCGCAGTGAGGTGTAGTCGCCTTAAGCCATAAAAACAAGACAGCAGCGGAGTTGAAGAAGACTTGAAGCTCTAAAAAAATCATTATCTAGTGCTTCTAACTGACGGTTCAGGTAAAAGATACTTGAAAAGGAAACTTCAGACTGCGAATTATTAAAGAAAACATTTGAGTTTGGAAGCAAAATTTTCCAACAAAAGTCTTGAAAATGAAGACAGGACCATAACAAATTTCAGGTAAAAACTTTCTGTAACGCTCTTAAAAAATGAGAAAAATGTTTGAAAGGTGCTGAATTAGAAATGGCCAAATTTTAGGCTTCAGAGGGACATGGAACTTACCGGTCTCTTGAAATCCCTTTTTTTCTCTAGCTTAACTGCTTTACTGTACGATACGATATGTACATATTTATGTATAATTAACCAGACTTCAGCCATGAGCAACTATTTTTTTTCTTTTCTGATAGCCTAAGTTATTTTTTAATAATTATTTCAAAAAAATCGATGAATAAAAATGCGTTGAAAAAGGCTCATCCTGTACAAAAACCTTTCCTTTGGGAAGCCTCACCTTCACCATAACCTAAAAGGTTTCCATTAACCATACCCCGCTCATATCTTTGCAGCTTTCATCCATTTCCTCTTATTAATATCTTCTCCTTTAATTCAAAATAACTAAACAATTGCGAGAGTATCACGTTAAGCCACTAAAAGCATGTTGGTAAAGAATCATCATACCATCAGCAGTCCTTTCATTAAACACAGAAAATTTCTACCAGTCCCACAGTCTCCAATTCTCACGCTTGAAAGCAATACCTTTTCTAAAAAATGTCTTACCTGTCACCGCTTCCTCTACAATCCAGTTTGCCAAAGTTACAATACAGATGATTTTAAAAACCGAGTGGCGCAAACTATCCGTGAACGTATACTGTTTTTTGCTGTCAGGTGGCAAACACAGAATATCACCTAGTGAAATGAGAGCATCGATCTACATGCCTTGTTACGCGTACTTTGAAAGGAACTCCACGCACTAATAGTGGTGAGTATATAGTGCACCTTACATACAAATAGTGCTTACCACGTTTCCTCAACAACTCCTTTTAATGCTTCGTCTAGAATCCACAAGCAGTGACTGAAGGACATTTTTTGTCACCAGACGCAGGACCAAAGAAGAAAAGAATCATTTAGATGAGTACGAAGAAATACAAAAGAGCAAACAACTCGCCCACTTCCAACTCAGCTACAACTAAAATTAAACTTTTTAATGCTGAATTGCAAGCTGTAAGGAACTATTATCAGCTACTCAAAGCGAAAAAATTTTCACAATCATTAATTGGCGGAATTCCAACTCTGTCTGAATTTAATTGCGAAAATTCTTCCTTCTAAGCGCTAGAGTCTGGACTTGAGTTTGCCCGCGCTATTGTTACTTTCAAAAACTATTACGCCGTGACCTGTTTCTTTTGTACTATAGTTTATCTATTGTCTTTCTAACTTTGGAAGATGCAGTTCTGAATAGCAAGTGGTGTGAATTTAGGAGGTGAGGACTGCGTTCTATGACGGTCATTTTCGCCTTATAATCCCTAATAATTCATTTCAGAATTTGGTCAGGCAACTTTCCATCATTACCCGGTGGAAAAGGTAGATTGCGGCTTTTTCAGCTGATTGCTGCAAGTTCTAATGTAAATGTTTGAAAAAAATTTACTAGAGGAGGGAACAAATTTGTAAGTCCAGTAACATGGCGGTTAGGGCGAGAAGGAAGGATTTTTTTTTTCCAAAACTGACGCCTTGTAGAGTTTCTTAAAGGCATTTGTAGTGCTACAGACCTACATCTTAGCAAGTGAATTTTCTTTTTGCCTTTCTTTGGGAGTTCAGGAAAAAGAAGTTTGATAAGGTGTTATCCTAAAGAGAATTTTCTTAGGCGGAGGTTTAAGGAATTGCCTGGTACATCACCAGCACGAGCGTCTCTTGGCAGTAGATTTTTCGCCCAGAAGAAGAAATAGAGACGGCTACATTTATGTCTGACTAGTGCCTTACTGTACTTTACTAACTGTTTCCAGCGTATTTTTTGGCCTCAGCGGAAATTTCAAACGTCTGCTTAATTGGCAGAATTCCATCGTGCCATCAAAATGAAGTTTGATTTTTTTTGAGGCCCAGAAAATGACTGCTGATGACCTTCCCTCCAAACTTCTTATATAGTTCTCGCCTGTTACTGATATTATGACATTTTTACTTTTAACTAGTCACTTGGCTTTTTAGTAATGCTTACTAGTTTATTTGTCTTTGAACTGTGATTTTCTTTTCTTGTCGTTTAGGTTTTTAAATACTCAAAGCAGAATTAGGTTTGTTCGTTTAAGCAGTTAATTTAGTAATCAGAAAATCGGTATTTTGAAGGATGATGCGTTCTTTTTTTATCTTTATTTTTTTACTGTATTTGCAGAGAAGTGAGTGATTTTTGGAAAACCTTAAAATTTTTCATCAACTCTAGCTGAGGTGTGTTAGATGCAAACTCACTATCTAAAAAAGTTTTACTTTCTTTTTGAGCTTCGTTGAATTTTCTTGCTGACAATTTGATTGTGCTATTGCTTGTAAACAAAAGAGGTAAATATGGTTGTTGTATGATAATTCCTCCCGTAAAACCACCACTGTTGGTTTGCGCGCGGTTTAGACAGGCATATAGCTCAAGAGAAGAGTTGGTGGTAGAGTAAGGAGGGTTTAGTATGTTTACAAAATTTATTTTATATGTCTAATTGATTGGTGGAGTCGTCGCTAGATCTCTTATTCTTTCATCACTAGATCTTATATTCGGAGCTCGGAAGCAATCAGTCTAATGGGAAGGTAAAGACATCATGCACTTAGAAGAAGTATATGGTTTAAGATATGTCAATTAAGATATGTCATTTAAGATATATATTTAAGATATGTCAAGATGTCACCAGGTGT